ATATAGTGTTTTGTTGAGTTATTGAGCAACCTTATCACACCCAACGATCCAAAAATCTCGGTTACAAGCAGTTAAACAACAAGAGTACTAACAATAGTTGCTAATGGCAGTTCCTTGACAAGTTAGCCATCATGAAGAAAGTGGGTAGTTATAGAGTGTCAAACAGTTTCCAAGCAGTTTTACAAGAGGAAATTGGCAAAGGAGTATATAAAGGAAAAAAAGACATAGAAGGAAGGATACTGAATCAAACACTCTCAATAGAAAATATATAATTTCAATTTATATACTTTCTAATTGGAAACTTTCAATTTACTTCGTGTACTTGTACTCCTTGGAGGCGTTTTCCTTCTTTCCAATTGTAATATTCATAAATAAAGCACCATTTTTGGGACTTTGTCTTAAGAGGTTTGTTCCTTACACAATCGTCTGAACATTTCTTTCAATTGTTAGCGATAATCCGAGCGAAACAAACTTAATTTCTATTAGCTAATTAATCAATTTACTTAATTATGTGGCAATTTTCTTTCCCTCTTTTTGTGTTTTTCAGGACCAAACCTCAAAAAGGTGATTAGAGTGGGTGAGGAACGTGATGGTTTATACTTCTACAAGCCCATTACCGCATCTACTCTGACCGTTGCTTCCACCTCTTAGTTTAACCCTCTCAAATACCAATTTGCTTGGTTTTATTTCTCTTCCAAATAAATCATCTTGTTGTGATGTATGTGCCCGTGGAATACACACAAGACTTTCTTTTAGTCAAGTTACCCATAAATCTATCTTTGCCTTTGAACGTATTTTTTGTGATATTTGGAGAGGTTATCCAACCACTTCCACTTATGGTGCACATTATTTTTTGACTATTGTTGATGAATATTCTTGAATGACTTGGATATAATTGATGTGTTGTAAGTCTGATACACTATCTTGTTTAGGTCGGTTTTTCAATATGGTAAACACTCAATTTAACATTAAGCTTGTCTGGAACAGCTTTTCAGGGGAAAAAAATCAATTTTTGGACCATTGCAAGCCAAAATCAGACATCTTTTTTGACTTTTGCTCTGTCTCACTTAACATTTAAACGGTCAAAAAAGTGCTAGTAATTGAGAAGAAAAAGCTCCACTAGACATCAGCTATGATTAGACATATACAGACTGATAATGGCCAGGAATTCTTATCACACAACATACAAAATTTCTTACATGATCATGGCATCCTACACGAGCATATATGTGTTAATACACCTAAGCAAATTGAGGTTGTTGAACGTAAGCATCGACGCCTTCTTAATATTGCTCGTTGTTTACGTTTTTCAAGCAAGCAAATGTTCATACTACTACTTGTTTAATTAATCATGTGCCTTCTACCTCTTTGTAACATGTGAATCCTTAGGAAAAACTTTTCAAACGAGCTCCCATTTATAACCATTTGCGTATGTTTGGTTGCTTATGCTATGTTCAAATTTTAAAATCTGGTCTGAACAAATTCCAATCTTGTGCTACGCCCTGTCTTTTCTTAGGATATCCACTTGGCCATAAAGCTTATAGAGTTTATGACTTATCTAGCAAGAAACTTTTCATCTATCCTGACGTAAGTTTTGTTGAAGATGTTTTTCCATATGATGTTGTCCATCCCTCTCCCCAGTCCCATGTCTCACCCTTGCCAATTTTGGAAGTTCATGTTCCCACTTCACCTCATGTCTAGTTTTGACCCTACCTCTACCCCTACGTTCCTGTCCACCTCTCCTTCGACATCTAGTCCCAATTCTATGGTGCCTTCCTAAGAACCATCACCCATCTCTCGTCCTCGTAAGACCATCAGTCACCCTGTCCATCTTCAAGATTACATATGCCCTACTTTACAGGATGCAACCACCACTAATACCACCCCTTCATCACTGACTTTAGGTACTCGTCATCCCCTTTCACATTTTATCACTTACTCTAAGGATTCATTGCCTCATTTTGCTTTCTTAAGATCTTTATCGCATACACTTGATCCTACATGTTATTCTCAAGTTGTAAAGAATTCACATTGGCGTAATGCTATGTCCACAAAGCTTCAAGCTTTAAAAGCTAACCATACATGAAGTCATGTTCTCTTTCCTTATGGTAATAAGCCAATTGGTTGTAAATGAGCATTCAAAACCAAGTTATTGCTAATGGATCCATTGAACGACATAATGCTCGGTTGGTTGCCAAAGGTTACACGCAAGTTAAAGGACTTGACGTTCATAATATCTTTCTTCATGGTGACTTGGACGAAGAGGTATACATGTTCTCGCCTCCTGGATATTGTCTTAAGGGAAATTCTAGGGTTTGTCATTTACACAAAACCCTTTTTTAGTCTTAAACAAGCCTCACACCAGTGGTACTCTAAGTTGTCTTCTGTTCTTCTTTCTGTAGGTTATAGGCATATGAGGCTGATCATTCCCTTTTTACTCTTAATCGAGCCAAGTCCTTTATAGTTGTTCTTATCTATGTTTATGATATTTTGTTAGTCAGAAATGACTTGGAGGTCATTTCTTCACTCAAGGACTATCTTGGTCTTCATTTTCGTATTAAGAGCCTTGGCACGGCAAAATATTTTTTTCCCGGGCCATGGATTGTTCTATCCCTTTAATTGTGACTTTCGAATTTCTACCTTTTCGGATTCTGATTAGGCCAGTATTCTACTACACGATGTTCAACCACGAGTTTCTTTATCGTGGTCAGCACTAGCTCCATCTTTGACAGTCCAAAAAGTAAAGCGTTGTTTCTCGTTCATTTGCTGAGGCTGGATACCGAGCTCTTGCCATCACTACATGTGGATTGATTTGGCTTGATATGCTTCTTCATCACTTGGTTATTTCTCGCACTATCCCATGCAACTCTTTTTTTGTGACAATCAAGTTTCTCTCCACATTACCCGCAACCCCATCTTCCATTAATGAGCTAAACACAGAGAAATTGATTGTTATATAGTTCGTGAGAAATACAAAGAAGGTTTAGTTCAACTCACTTATATTCCTACTTCATCCCAGCTTGCAAATGTGTTCACCAAACCCTTCAGTCATGATCTTTTCCTCCATCTTTCTCTCAAGTTGGGCATTACATATCTTCATGCTCCAACTTGAGGGGAAGTATAGAAGTTTATCATATATAGAAGATTTTCATAGCTAATATTGCTTCCATATTTGCATTACATAGAAGATTTTCTTGTGCTAACTTGCTGCCATATATAAAACCTGCCTATAGAAGATTTCTATTACCTTGTACAACACTTTTACTAGATAATTCCATTGTATTGTATATTGATGAATTATTATTGAGAATAATGAGTATATCATCTTAACATATAAAACTCTATCCTCCAACCAAAGTACTCCGTGAATATCCTTTAGATTTCGGATTTTTACTTTTGTAGAAGGTGGCTACAGTTAGCTATAGTACGCTAATGCAAACAAATCCTCATGCAATACACTGACACTACAAAATGTTGCGACGTAACTATATGTAAATGGTTGTAAGGGTAAAGAAAATATTTAAGTTTAATTTGTAGGAACATAATTAAAATCTAGAAAATGGAAAGAAAGAAGATAAGAAGAAGAAAAAACAAAATAAAAACGAAATCTGAGATAAGTGAAAATATTTTCTCCTTAAGACAATATTGCCCCGCAACGGTATTAATGGACTACGACACTTGTCTCTCAAGATACAATGGATACAACTTATGGTAGAAGTATTTCAAACCACAAGTAACAGCGAACTTAGAATGAAATTTTTTATCTACACAAAAATGGTTTAGAATGACTTTTGAAGAGTATTTTGCAAAATTTTTTGATGTAATGCTCAATGCAAAATGATATGGGATGCTCAATGGATGCCCAAATGGTCTATATATAGAAGAGGGAAGGTTGTGAGTGAAATGCCGCGCCCCAAATTCAGCAACATTTGCCAAAGGTGGCAGCATTTTATGTCTCTAGCATGTCGCTGGACTTTCGCTCGAGCGCGGTGACACGTTTTCATCAGAACTTCTCTCGCTCATCTATCACTCGAGCGAGCTCGAGTAATAGAGTTAACCATTTTCAGCCCGTATATCTTATTTTATATCCAATATTGGACTACAATTTCTCATTCATCCAGAATTGATTTTGAGATTCTAAATATACCATGACGATCTACTTGACAAATAAAACAAGTTAGTATATTTATATTCATAATTTGCCTATCGGATCAGTCCGAATATTTGATCGAAACTGACACGAAAGTCACTTTTCCGTACTTAATTTTATTTTCATTCTCTAAATCAAATTTCAACTCAAATTGAAACTTAAAGAGCATTTTGCGAAAGAATAATGCTATTGGTTCGGACTTCAACTTGGGACTTTTACGTGGGAACATAATACAAGAAAATGAAAACAGAGTAGGCAAACAGTTTACAGCAACAGACTTGGAAACCTGGCAGAAAAAGAAGAAAAAAAATCATGGATCCAAAAATGTTACAATATGAGAGTCATCCAACAAATCCACGCTACACATTTTCACTCACCCACATCTCGAATCCTCAACTTTCTCCTTCATTCTGTCCAAAATCCTTTGCTTTGTGGCTTACAAAAATGTTCCTTACGCAAAAAGGCTACTAACCCAGATCCCAAACCCTACCATATTCTGCTACAACGCCCTCATGAAAGGCCTTATCTCACAAAATCCATGTAAAGAACCAATTTTATTGTTTAAAAAATTGCTCCAGGAAAAGTTTCCAAAATGAAACACCTTTAATCTTATGTTTGTATTGAAGTCTTGTTAAATTTTAGCAGCATTTAAAGTTCAACAAATTCATAAGCACGTAATAGTATCTGGGTTTGGTTCGAATTTGTTTGTTCAAACCTCTACGCTGAACTTCTATATGAAATTGTGAGAAGGTTGCTTTAGTAAGGAAAGTGTTCGATGAAATTACGGAGAAGAATGTGGTGGCTTAGAGCATGATGATTGGCGGGTACTCAAGAGTTGGGATGGTGAAAGATGTTATTGGATTGTTTAGGGATATGCAAAGGACAAAGAGGAACCCGACGAGATGACGATGGTGAGCATGATTTCTTCGTGCACTGTGAGGCACCGGATTTGGGGAAGTGGTTGCATGCTTATATTGAGAAGAAGGCGATAAAAAAAGACCTCGAGGTTAGTTCTGCACTTGGTAATATATATGCGAAGTATGGATGCATTGAGAAGGCAAAGGAAATTTTCGAAGTGATGCCAGTTAAGGATGCCAAAGCATGGAGCACCATAATTGTTGGATTGGCCATCCACGGGCATGCAGAAGAAGCATTCGAAACTTTTGCAAGAATGGAAGAAGCTAAGGTAATTAGTCTGAGCGTGTTCTTTGAGTCTAAGAGCATTGGCACTTGGATTTATTAACATTATAGACAGCTATAATTAGAACTTTGAATGATTGTAGCATCTCATGATATCTATCTCGGATAGCTTACATTGAATCGTTTGTTAGATTACTTTGATCTATGATGTTTGTTTACATCTAACTTTATGTTTAACCCTCTCTTGATTATTATTTTTTTTCAGATTGAGCTAAATAATGTCAAACACTTATTGGTGTGTGCTATTAACATGTACCCACAATGGTCTAGCTTATGAGGGAAGGAAGTATTGGTCATGTATGCTCGAGTCCGGAATTGAACCATCTATGGAGCATTATAGATGTATGGTTGATTTTATTGCGTCATACAAACCTGATTGAAGAGGCTTATAGATTTGTCGAGAGCATGCCAATTGACACAAGTCCCGTAATATGTCAAACATTCCTTGTGATTTGCAAGAAAAACAAGATGTTAGCCAAAGGTGAAATTGTAGCTGAGCGGTTTCTTAAATTAGAGCCACTCAATATAGAAAAATATATTTTGCTCTCGAATTTGTATGCATCGGGATCAAACTGGGTGATTGGTCTCACCCTGAAGCAAAGGAGATAAAAGAGATTTGAAAAGATATGGAAGTGAACCTTGGATTGCAGCAGTTTTGCGTTATGGGAGTGATGAAGAAAAACGGGATGCCCTTTATGAGCATAGTAAAAGGTTAGTCATTGCTTATGGTCTACTGAATCTACTGAAGACTAAAGCGCTCGATTGTTCGAGTTAATTAGAATTGTAAAGAATCTTAGAGTCTGTGCAGATTGTCATGCAATGACAAAGACAACAAGTAGATTGTACAATAGAGCAATTATTGTTAGGGATCGGATACGGTTCCACAAGTTTGAAAATGGAGCCTGCTCTTGTAGGGATATTTTATTGCTTGATATTTTACAAAACTAATAGGCAATCATTTGCTAAAATAGTCAATAATTAATCAATAATCTTCAGAGCATTTTTGTACTTGGGATTACATAAGATTGAACAATACAGGACTTCATGATTAGATGCTAGATATTAAAATTTACTATACATTGCGTGTCTAGTACATGACTTATTTCTGGCAGATATAACCGCCCGCCGTACTACCTCCACCCTACTGGGAGTGTGGTTTAGGCGGGGCTACCCTTGAGTAAAGCAAAATCGATAAATTCCATACATGAGTATGCATGACTACTTAGACTTGAACTTTAATTAGCCATTTGTACATTTCCTCTTCTGGAACAGGGATTGCAAAAGTCATCAAACCAGTTGTAGCTTCATAGTTGAACTCAGTCTCAGTATTGCTCACTCTACATTTCAGTGGACGCTGCGAACAATATACCCCAAAACGCCCACATCCTCTGACCTTGAGAGCAATTGTTGCTGTTGGAGAACGGTTTTCGCTTAAAGAACCAGAGTACTCAGAGGCAACCTCACCATCAAAGTGCTCGGCTTTCTTTTCAGAGTCCAGCAGGACTTCGATTTGCTCCACAGCACCACCTGAGTTTAACATGTCGAGCAACCCAATCGGTGCAAAGGAAATGTAGGCTGTAATATACTGTACAGGATGCAATGGATTTCATCAGGTTTTATCAAATGAATACTAAGAAGAAAGAGACTAAGTAAATCGGATGTTCACTTACCTTGATGGGACATATATGGAACAGTTCATATTCAAGAACTTTAAGCGTCACAGGTAGTGATGTGCCTTTTGGTAAACGAACTATCTCGCCTGATCTATATGCGTAGACTATGGTATCTCCATTCCAATCTGGTCCAGCAATTTCAGTTATGATGTTGATATCAGAGGCTTGAACAGAACTGGTCAGAGTTCCAGGAGAGACATCATGAATACGTGTCTTCTTTGCTTCCTTGCACCAACCAGCACCTTGGCAGTTGAAGGCGCCAACCACTCCAGAAAATTTGTTTGTATTCCAGATTTTAAGTAAGCTATGGATTATAAAGCATTAGAAAAGGACTTCTATTATCATGTTAAACGCTTCAGAAGCTGAGAACACAAGACAAAAATAGTCACAAACCTTGCTCCATCTCTTGCTGGATCAGCAAATAGACAGTCAATTGTTGGTCGACCAGGCAATTGTGCGCGGAGAACTGATCCATCAGGAAGCACTAGCTTTTTCAAAAGCTCAAAGTTGTGATTACCCGGCTTGTCACTAAATGCACAACAAGAGTGGCAGTCAGTTTATCCTTCAGACTGAAGGTATTACAAACAACAAACTAGGCTGAAATATGACAAATACCTCACATAAATTGCACATCCTCCAATGGCTCGAGCTGCAGCATGATATTCAGCAGTTGGGTGTAGGCTCTGTAACATGGACTAACACTAGTAAATTCTCATGAACTAAATTTGATAAAGTAAATGCAAATTTAGTAATACCCACGTGGAACATGTCCCAATCAGGTTGCATAAACTCTCCCAAAAATATTGAGTTGTAAGCCACGGATGAAATGTGGATGGTGTGAGAAGCAGGATCACGAGGGTAATAATCATCCGAAGCTCTAACAACTGCAGTTTGCTTGGCACTGTATATCCCATCAGTGTTATGACACATGCAAGCAATGCATGCATTCTCTGGAAAATTCCTTGCAATGGAAGCTTCAAGGGCCTGGTGGTAGCTACGAGTTAGAGAAACTCTACCACCATGGCCAGCACCAAGAGTTTCGATGATGTTTTGTACATCGACTTTGACTCCATCTACTCCGCATGAAGCCAGATATGCGTGAAGCTCATTGTAGAAATTGAAAACCTTTTTCGGGTGTACGAGACCCAAGCCATGAACAGCAAGACTGTCCATAACAATGTCTGGTTGATTGCCGAGTACACCTGGAGACTGCACAGGGTATGCCAGAGCTGTGTCATAGTGCTCCATACCTGGACCAGCAGGTTGCACTCCACCCCAGTAACCTGCTAGAGCATGCCATACATAGACATACCTGGTGGAAAGGGAATTAAAAAGAGAGAATATATCAATAAATAGCACTTAAATATACAGACTAAACCTTGCTAGATAGACGGGAATTGGATATATTCTTTCAATACATTTTCAGCTGTTGATCTAAAAATAATTGATAGAGGTCAATGAAGATCAAAAAATGTGAAGGAATTTTATTTAGAATATTTAGAATAATTCCAATATAATTCATTCCCAGGAAAAGAAAATATGATTTTGTGGATTCTACAAACATGAAAAATTAACAACAATAAAAGAAAACAACAGTCATCGAGCAAAACAACCACGTTGGGATACTTACTTGACATTTTGATGTTGCTTGGCATCTTCCACAACATGTTTGAGTCCTGATTCCTGTTCTTTATTTTTTCCATTCTTTTGAAATTTATTGTTTTCTTTTATCCCTATTAGCCTGTTTGCAAATCTGCAAGTTAAGAATAGAAACATCTCAAAAATATTGTAATAACTAGTGAATGACTAGTTTAAATGAAAGATAAACCTTAATTATAATTAGAATGTGCAAGAAATTTATCAGAAAGCTAAATCAACTATAAGGAATAGTCTTCAGAAACAACATTAATCAGTTAAAAATAGTTGTGCTTCCTCTACACAGCTTACTTAACATGTACAAATCAGTTTCATAAATTACAAGAAATCTAACTCTCTAACTACATATGATTGATTCCTAAACTTCACTTTCCAACATTTAGCTTACAAAAAGAGATTGAATCGCTACTCCACACCATTTATATAGTGAGAAAATAAAGAAATAAAGAACTAGGTGACTTACTGAGCTCCTTCTTGTACAACACAATTGGGGTCTTCCTTGACCTCACTACCAATCTGTTGCCAGCCATCATCTATGATAAGGAATCGTGGAGGTGCACCTCCTTGAGATAAGCTGCAAGAACAAATTAAGGTAAGCAATTGTACCCCATTCACCACAACCCTCTCATCTTATTTGTTATTTCCAGATAATTAAAGAACCAGATTTTACCTCTTAAGGCCTTCTTCAACACCCTCAGCAGTAACGTCAGTGTAGAAAGCATCCCATGTGCACCAACCAAACCAATCAAGGAATGATGGCAACTACAAGCAAGTACAAATGCAAAAACATAATATTAAGATTCCCCATCTTTGCTTCAATCCATTCAAACAATTCTAAACATAAAGAAAGAAGAGACTCTCACCTTCTTCTTCTCACGGTGATGAAAAGTTTGCATGTGCTTTTCAATAGCTCTGTAACACGATAAAGATAGCAATATATTAGAGAAAGTGGTACGAAAGGAATCAATGGTGCATAACTTCAAAGGAAGACAGAGAACTTGGGAAACGATATTTGAATATAATACATATATTTCTAAGACCTTAAATCTTTGTAAGATGCCATATTTGGCAAGATATGAAGAGGGAGGAGTTTGAGGATATGGTGATTCCCAAGGAAAAGCAAGGACTTACTTCACAGCCTGGTTGATGACTTCAAAAGGATTTGTCCCAGCATGCATGTAAACAAGGTAAAGTCCCTGGTTGGTTTCAACAGCATTATCTCCTGAAACAATATTAGCCCATAAAGAAAACGAGGTCAATTATGTTCTTCTGAACACTTTTTTTTCTAATTTCAACCCCACAAATTTAAAAACTCCATTAATTCACGCATTTTAGGATGTGAACAATCGATTTCTCCATGTTGGAGGTATTTTCCTGAGCGGCAACCCCACCTTAATATATTAAAACATTGGTCTCTTTTATATGATGAACGAGAGGGGGCTGGCCTAATGGAGCATACAGCCTAAATATAATGGGCAAATCAGGAAGCATGTAGCCTACAGGGCCAAATCACATGTCCATGCATGTAGCCCACGGCAAATACATTTGGATGCCATGTTTTACTCACCACTGTCGAGGCATATCTCCAGCTCATTTTTCTCATTGCCTTGTAAAACAGCACGGAACTGGCCATCAAGGAGGGGCAGAAACACAGTATAGATGGTTGGGGCATCTTCACGCTCGCCTTGAGTTGTGTCTTTGCTCTCGATGAGTATGAACTGGGTCTCAAATGGGATGTCCTTCCCACAGGTTCCCATTCTCTGGGTCATCCACCAAAGCTTGAAACGAAATAAACACATGAAGCGGACACCCCTGTTACAGAAGTAGATTAGAAAAATGTGACACCTTCTTCCCACTTATTTCATATTTTAACAAATCTTGTGATTACATGGAGTTAACCAACAAATTACTTCCAGCTAGTCATTGATAATAGTGGAAAGGTTTGTACGATATGAGTATAATATCTCAGCGAATCACAACATATTTGAGAATAGTTTAATGCTCACTCCAAGACACCAACAGGGAAGACATGCAAGCTTTTGCTATTTGAAGCTGTAGCACCCATGAATGCACCAGCAACAAGCCCCACCCCTGATCCGTGGGTCAGCACAATGTTGTCGGGGACTCCAGTGAGTATGGTTTTCCCATGAACCACAAGGTTCGCATCGCTGATAGTGATATTCGGTGTAACGGTCATCTTTTCACGCTCTACCACTGCCTGACAATTAACTGCATGGACAGCAAAATAAAAGGCACGACTTAGAAATCAACAAGCAACCATATTCTACATCAGATCACAAATGACATCGAAAATTCCTTAAAAGTAAAATTTATTTTCACAATTCAATCAATTTAAACTTCTGAAAAATTGGAGGATAAAATTGGTGTCCATTGTTAAATAGTGGACTTGTGTATAGTATCAGAAAGGAAGACAAACTTGATTTATTGAATATTTAATACAAACTATAAACAAATCATTTTTCAGTGTAGCATCTGTGCTAATTTGATACTGGTGGTGATAGCAGTAGCGTACTAAATAAAATAGAAAAAAAAAAAAGACCAATAGAGAACAGCTCTTTAAAGTAATTAATGAAGAGATCAAAAAGTTTATGGTCAAAAATAAAATCAATGAAAAGGTGTATAAAGCCATATTCACGAAAATGATTGGACACAAATGCAAAAATTAGCAATTGAACTTCTAATGTAACTAAGCATCAAATACAACGCATGAGTCTTAAAAGAATGACAAAGTTTTTCCAAGAACTCTTCGGATGTGAATTTTTTGGATGTGATCAACTAAAACGTCTCAAGTTTCCATGAGCTGAGAATACTCATAGGCAAAATTGTCAAAGAACCAGAGAACTGGTAAAAAAAAAAAGAGAGAAGCAGATCATGTTCATATAGCCCCAGAGGTCATAGAATGGACACTTAAACTGATGGAAACTAACTGCAAATGTGAAGATCTGACAGTATATTTGTCCCGGAATTAATTCCAGCTACCAATCTTTAAAGTAGCCTAATTTAAACTATGTAGTAATTCATCGTAGATTAACTTCTTAAAGGCACTCATCCAGAAAATTGACGCAATGCAAAATGTTGATTCAGAGGTCCTAAACAGAACTGAAAGTACGGCCAACTTGCAAAATAATATTTGAGATCTTAATCTCAAAATTTTTATGGAAAGGGGAAATCCTAAGCAAAAAATGCAACTATATGGAAAAAATTCAAAATAAAAGAAAAAATCTTTCAAATCACCTCTAGGACGTTCCGAATTCTTCTGAAAAACCGAAGCCCGAACTGATGTTCGATTTGCAGGAAATACACAAGCTCGACGTAGGTTCAAAATCTTCGGATAAAATAATACAGAAACTGAATACCAGTACGAAGGCAAAGCGAAAGCTCGTCGTACTATCATTTTCAAAGAAATATCACCAAATTTTTGAAAATCTGGGAAAAGTAGAAAATACCTAAATTCTCGAATCGCCTTTATAAAGCTAGACAACTATAATTACACTTCAAAGAACAAAAAACTCCCAAGTTCCAAAAAAAAAAAAGCTTGACACGTACACTTAAATTCAAAGCTACGCGTCGAATTTAGCTTCAATCACAATTTAGCAAGACAAAGTAAATTTATAGAATTCACATTTCACGTAAACAAATCCTGTAGAAAATCCAGCAAAACTTACCTTTCTTAAATCTCTAGCCGCCTCAGAAATAGCACCAAAGCTCAACTCTCTCAAAATGGGGAATGAATTAGTTCAACTCAGCTGAAGCGGATTCACAGGGAATGCAAACTTCTTGTGAGAGAATGGAGAGTACTCAATGAAGCGTGCATTCCTGAGTAGAACCAGCTGGGTTTATATATTGTATTTGAGCTTTAGAATCGAACAATGTTCCAATCAAAAGTTGACACGTGTTTGATATTTAGCGATTTATTAAAATGGAAAGATAATTTTTAAGGGAGATATTACAATATTATATTGTTGATTATCCTTACGTGAAATGTCTGTCTGTCAACCGAAGAGTTGGTTCCCGTTTCACTGCTCAGAAAGAGTACTCTAAGATCGTCTGCTTATTTTGGTTGTTTTACTGCACTTTCCATTGAAAAATGCTAGACGACCCGCATGAATGACCGTGGGGATGACCGTGCCGTCACAGCAAAGACGCGGGTCCCATCCGAAGAAAATAATCCCAACCCCCTATGTGAGTGACGCAATCATCCCCGCGGTTCCTGTAGCAGAGCTCCTTTCCATCGTTGATGGCTATCCAATTCTGACTGCTTATTTTCCTAAGATGAATTAGAATTTATTTTTAATGCCTTCACTTCTTTAGAAGTCCATTTAGTTGAAGTTGAGACCTCGACTTGTTCCATTATGAGCCCAGGAATCGAGTAAAATTTGGATATCGATCAAAATGTCAGGTCGAGCAAGATCATCTTCTTTTTAGCAAATCATTATTTCTCCATTCAAAGCTATTTGCCAGAATGAGCGTCATCATAGGACAAACCAAACATTTTGAAAAATTATATTCCTTCGCAACTCAACTAGAGTGATTCAATCATTCATGTAGTCAGTAGTCACGACAACCGTACCCAAGGAGAACTGATTCGTGATTCACTTTGCCAGCTCAGCAAACGTTCATAGTTGGAATTGCCCACTTCTCCAAATATTTCCAATCTTCTTTCTGTCCTTCTCATTTGTCAAAGGAGAACTGAGAATCTCAAATTGCCTTCTCTACACGTTTTAGAGCTTGTTTGGAAATGGATTTTTAGGTGAAAAATGAATTTTTTTTTGACAAATGTGCAATTAAAAGATAAGAAAAATTTATAATCCTATAAAATTAGTGTAGAACTCTCTCTCGTAGCAATATGGAATGTGGAATCCTTCCACATCGGCTACTCGTTGTGTCGATTTCTCACCGCGAAGTTGTCCGTTTCTTAAAGCAGGTCGACATCTTAGTAACGGGATTATAATAACGGGAATATGCCATCATTAGTTTAATAAGCAAGGCACTAATCATATAATTATTATGTACTTAAAAAAAGTTTTAAATTACTAATTTTTCTGTCCTAACGAATTATAATTACTCGGAAAAGGACTGGTCCAGGGCCGTTTGAACTTTTTAGCCAGGGTCCAGCCAATAGGCTTTGACATTAAAAAATCTCTGTGGCTGAGTTTTGATTGCCTTTTCATGCCACGACAATTATTTGAGAAAATTTTATAATAGATCTCCGATGTATTGTTCAGATAACAAATTGGTCTTCAACATTTCATATAAATGTACATCAGTCTTTTGACGATGAAAATTGTTCAAATTTTCTTTAAACTGTAACGTGAGACATGGCTCACTTCAAATTATGGAAGTTGTTGAGGATGTGAAAGCGTGTGATGTTTGTTAGTCGACCCCTCCCGCTTATTAATTAAGGAGGACACATCTGTCTTAATCGTCACCACATTCTAACTCTAGCTAGCCTACTTGAAAAGGTATTGGAATAAAAAGGACGATTTATTCCTACGGTGCAGTATATTGCTTCATATTTGNTTTAGCCAATGTTTGAGTCATACTAAATTTTCATTTTCATTCTTCTACTCATTTTCAACCACATATTTTTGAATAAAATACTATTTTTCATTATATCAATAACTTTTCCTTTTTTTCAACCACACATTCTCTATCGATCTACTATTCCAAAATACATTCTTCCAAAATAATGCGATTCAAACACACCCTTAATAGAGTGAATAGGACAAAAATTTAGACGAGAGGTAAACAATTTACATAAAAAAAATGTGTGATTTTATTTAGTATTACGTGCCAAACATATTCTCTACTTCTATGCTATTGTTTAGTTTTACATGACAATTTGTTGGTCACAAAACGAGAATCTGCTGGGTGGTTTTGTTTTATGGACAATGTTTGCATTAACAATTAAGTAAATAGATTGTGCAGCTGGAATATTTTTATGTGACCCTTAAAGCATCTCCAATAGATTCTCCTTTTTTAAAGTGCATATTTTATCATTTGGAGAGCATCTATAAATTTAGAGAATTAAAATTTTAAATTACTTCAACAAACTCTTTATATTTAACATTTAATTTTACTACTTCCAAAAAATATTTATTATTTTTGTTTATATTTTATTTTAACTAGATTTTCTTTGAATTATTTTATTATTTTCATACATTGAAAATTGAAATACTTTGAATGTATTTAATTATAAAGAGTGAGTTTGGCTCTCCAAACTCACTCTCTAAATTAAAATGTTAATTTAAAGAATCTTTTGGAGTATGGTTTTAAATGCTGATTCTTTAAAATAAATAGCATCTCATGTTTAAAGGGTCTCTTGGAGATGCTCTTAGGTTGTCAGTCTTTTTCATCCGACAAACTATTTGGAGTATAGCGGAATTAAAGATAACATATGTGAGGTTTCACAAATCTCAAACGAGTCACATCTTATGTTTTAGAATCTACATTATTATAATATTCCTATTCTTGCTCTATTGTGTCACGATAAGTTCATTTAATTTTCATTTTAGGATTTTTAGTGTTTTGTATTAAATAATACTGGCCGCAAAAATTATAGAATTTTTACTCTTTTTTCGTAATCTTATCAAGTGCGCTCCAATATAGCGTACATAAGATGCCATAAATGTCAAACTCAATCGCGAAAACAAAAGGTGGGGAAATTGGCCTCAAATGCAGGCTGTGCACAATTCTCATCTTCATCATGGTCCATATGAAATGATGTTAACTTGTGCTTATTGCTGCTAGTCTTCTATAAGTCACAAGTTGTTGTGTCTGGCCAATGTTTTTGGACCTGTCTTCATTTAATATGTCCGGACATTGAAATAGATAATCTTGCTTCATGCCAAAAATTAGTAAAAATCGAAATTGCAGCACGTGTGAATGATATATACATACAAATAGAACAGGAAACGGGAGAACGAAATAGTAGAAGAAAGTTATATACACGTCACCAGCACCGGGTTGTTTAATTAGTCCATATTCTTGAGTTGTTTAATATCCATCGCTCAAGATCGAGTAAAAGATTTACTATTTACACCATTGACGATGTTTGGTGCATTGTATTAAGTAGGACAGATCGTATAAGATACAAATTTTTAATTGTTTTTTTTTTCTTGGCATATCGAATCTTGTTTAATCCTCTTTATCAAATATGACAGTTGAATAGAGTCATTATGACAACTAAAGTGAGTTTGACTAAAGATAGTAAAGAAAGATGAGAAGACGGTCGTTTCAATAAAATAATATTTTTTATCACATCAATAACTTTTTCTTACTTTTTAACCACATATTTTCCATCATATCACTTTTTAAAATACATTCTTTTCTCAATAATATCCATCAAACACCACCTTGATATTTAAGTCCATAACTAAGGGTCCGTTAAAATACATTCTTTTCTCAATAATATCCATCAAATACCACCTTGATATTTAAGTCCATAACTAAGGGTCCGTTTAATTGCAAGGGTGGAAAGAAAACGAATTCCAGAGAAAATAATTACCTAGAACTTGTTTTCCATGAAATTGTTAATTAAGTTTGTTTGATTTGTATAATTTTCCACTCGGAAAATTTTAAAATTTTGGATCTTTTAGTTCACGTTTAGCTTTATTTTACATGGAAATTGTCCATTAAAGTGATATTTTTTTTTAACAATTGGTTATAAAATTTGTTTTCACTACAAAATAGTAAAAAAAAAAAAAAAATTGTTTTACATGGAAATTATCTATTAAAATGATTTTTTTTTTTTTACAATTGGTTATGAAATTTGCTAACATTGTCAAAAAGTAAAAAACAAAAAAGTTTTTTTTGCTCGAAAACTATTTTTTCATTAAAGTTTAGTATTTGTTTGGTTTCATTTTACATGAAAATTGTTCATTAAAATAATTTTTTTTTTTTTTACAATTGGTTATAAAATTTGTTGCCATTGCCAAATGAGAAAAAAAAAACCGAAACTAGAATTCATTTTCCCACCAAAAACCCTAAAAAGAAGGAAAAAGGGCGCATGGGGGAGTGGGTGGGAAAATTTTTTCCATGTCAAATTTTACCTATCAAACAACTTTTTAAGGATGGAAAATGAAAAAGTTTTCCTTTTCCATAGAAAATTCAAGCTATCAAACAAAGCCTAAGCTATATGGTGAAAGGGAAGCTAACTTGAAATATGATTTTGAATTTGGCATGCTTAAGAAGGGAGTGTAAGTATGATCGCTATTTGAATATAAATTTTACCAATGCTTGTTGTTAATAATGTCACAACTAAAAAAATTTGGACTTTCTTCGGTAGATGGTAGAAATAAAAAAAAATAGATTTTTTCTGATACTATAGAAAAAGGTTAAAGGTTAAAAGATGGGGCTGTTTCAGCAAAGTGTTATGTCAATGGCGGCGTTACTGGCAAGAACATGATGAATGGCTCTTTGGATTATGTTAGACGGTATGNTATTAAAATTTTTATTTTAATCTCCACCAAATAGGGGCAAAATCACAATAAATTTGAATTTCGATAACATACTAATTTTAAAAATTCTCCAACGATCGTACGCTAATCGAATCTAAAAATTGTTTATATCATCTCAAAATATATTTCGAGAATTACATTATGGGCATATCGTATAGTCCAAACAGATATCGAAAATAGTTAAAAATACGTTAAGCGTTAGTCTTAAAAAAAGATATCTAACTCACATTTTTTTAAAAAATTCAATTATTTCATTAACATTTATTATTTTTGCGATACAAATTTCTCAATGTAATTTATATCATTTTATATAGAATATGACATCAAAAATTTTTGAAATTTTACATCCGAAAAAATCATCTCATGTAAATTTTCAGATGTAAAATTACATGGGGTATGATTTTTTTGGACATAAATTTTTTTTTGTAAAATTTCTTCTAATTTCTTTGCAATTTCGATTTTGCCCTATTAACTTTTAAGGTTTGCGTCCGCCCCTGGTATGAAAAATTCTAGGGGTTATCCAACACACCTCTACTTCATCCTCTAGAACTAGCCACAATAAGCAGTTCATGGCCTTTTTCTCATAGATCTTGTGGTCCATTACTCAAGGAAAGGGTTGGAGCCTTAGTCCTCGAATGTCGAGCTTAACTTGTATTTGCAATAGGGCATGAGAAAATTGGGCTCACTACTCTCAAAAAATAAAATAAAATATTAAATTAATACTCTTAAAACTAATTAGAACTACGAATTTACGTATTAATTACGTCCAAAACCTTGAAAGCACATAAAAGCCTATAGATTGATTTTGTTACTTTTTGAATTTATTTTACTTTTCGTTTAATAGTCTTACTTTTCTCCTTTCATAGGATTGATTAGAGGTGTCAAGACGGACGGGCCGGCCATGACCCTGAAAACCGGCCGGTGAAAATCGGGACCGCGGGCCGAC